GCTCAGCCACTTCTCGAAATAGGCCCGCACCCCACTTTATATATGAAGCATAAATCACAATACACTTTGCATCATGTCCTCAAGAACTTTGTCGACACTCATGTTTGCAACTACCATCAACTTTCATGTACCCTCAAATTCCAGACATATGGTTTAACAACAAAGGTGATTAGCTTGATAATACAAGATCACTATAACTATATATGTCATTATTAATATTTTTGGAAATCTATGGAACATTGGAACTTGCCGATCAACAATCACAACAGTGCTAGGTAAGTTGGTGGATTAGCGCAAATGAATATCTCTCTGTTATGTTCATCTTTGAACACCCCAAATGCCCCTGCCTCATTATTTTGGCTTTCGAATTTAAAACTTTTATAATTTTTAACCAAATTTTTAATTAAGTTTCATTTTCAGATTCATATTGCTTGTGACAAGGGCTTGCAAATAAGATCCATTTTATATATGTTTTGACGATTTTCTGTAAAAAAATGTTAATTTTCAATCGTTGAAACTTAGTGCGAGCGAACAATAAAATCGCAAGTTTCAAAAACGCGAACATTGAAATCTTAATGTTAGTGTGAGCGAACAATAAAATCGTAACATTTCAGAAACTATGAATGTCATAACTGTAAGTTTTAGATACTTATAACTTTTTTGAGTTGAGACACTTAAAAATTCATGTGCCAAAATTTGGGGTCCATAAAATCGCCAGCGTGGTGATCCTAAAAAAAATCGGCAGCGTGGCTGTCTTGTGGTGTTAAAAAAAGCATGGCTATCTTGCTAAAAAAATCAATGTTTGTGGTGGACGTCCGACCGACCACCATACTGCCGGCGACGGGGTGCCGCCGTGCACGCGTCCAACATTATGCACATGTGAAGGTCGTAGACGCCGTCTCTGCTGCGTAGACGTCCGTCGTCTCTTCCGTCCATTACTCGCATTAAACAAGCCGCCGTACACGTCCTGACATACACCATGCAGCCAGCATCCCGAAGCGAAGGAACGACTCACGATTCCGTGAGTAGGCGAGCCCGTCCACGCCCATGAGTTTTCGGTATTATATGTCTGTTTACTAAAGCCTTGAGAGGCAATGGCAGACTGGCACTAAATAGCCTTATTTACATTCAGTACATCGCCGAATACATGCACAAGTAAACCAAAGTCGCAATCATGCGAAGGTATAAACGAGACCAACACATTCCAATAGAGCTACAAACCTGGTGTGCAATCATTGCATCATGAGGATCAGAGGTAGTAGTTGCTTACAAAATATGCTTGTGAAGAAGATCGTCTAGACTAAACCCAGCGTCTTGTGAGATTGCAGAAACCTCTTGTGAGGCTTTGCATACAGACATTGTTGTGAGTTTTACGAGTTTGTATTCCGTTTTCTGCTTTGGAATTGCATCGGGCATCTTGGTGAGTAACTTCAGTGAGTTTGTTTTGCATAGACTTATACAAATAACAAATGTTTGCTTCCATTAAGCATCTTGTGTAGAGTTAATTCTACACTTTGAAGGGAGTTTTTTGCTTTTCGGGAAACTAATTTTGACCAGTTCCTGTATAATCAATGAAAGTGGCATATATTTCTTTGGATTGTTGATAAGCTATTATTTTTATTTTTGCAATATGTATCTGATGAAATAACAAGTAAACTAACTATAACTATTTTGTAAAACGGTTGCAATGCACGGGCTATAGTTCATGGTTTGAACAACAACCCGTAGAAACGCACGGACATATTTACTAGTTATGTATATGTGTCTCCACGTTACACAACACAAAGCACAAAGCCCCCATGTACATGTCTCTCTCTATCCTCCACACACATAGATACAAAGAATATGTTATCATTGCCTCAGTCTCTAGACATATCACACACGCACATTCTCTCTCTCTCTCTCTCTCTCTCTCTCTCTCTCTCTCTCTCTCTCTCTCAAACACGCTCAACAAGGGTTTCCTCGTGAATAACTTACCGTCTATTCATCAACAGTCGTGGCAGTACGACGAACACGAGACGTGAAAAAGAATAAATCTACACGTGCTTAGACCACATAGTATGACTACTAGGACTAGAGCAAGCCAAAAAGTACGCCGTTGTCATCCCCTCCTTATTGACGACAGGAAAACCTCTGTTTTATACAGTCGAGAAGTCATTGTGCTAAAGTCTCACATGCTGAGGTGTTGAATAGAATGTAGATGCTAGTTTACGGAAACAAGTATCGATACTACGTTTGCATCTTCATACTTATATTTCTTCTCTTACTAGTAGAACGCCCGTGCGTTGCCACGGGCTTTTAATTTATTTTTTTAATTACACCTATTAATGCAATTCATATCAAATTTTGCATGTATAATTTTTTTTCTAATTGCGCATATAATGTATATGATATTTCAGATGTACAGAAAAGATAGCTTGCGACAATTGAAAAATAATTGAAATCCAATTCATCTGTAATGTAACTCGACGATGTGTACATAGAGAGCTATGATCTAAATAACTGTATGTTACAAACTAAGATCTATGTGATGCGCAAAACATATTCCCACACAGTCTAGAATATTGTCTTTAGCTTCACTTGCACGATACTTCAACAAGTATAAAAAATATATTTCTCGAAGATTTAATCGGGTTAACATGTACCAATAGATTTTCCATCTGTGGTTTACCTTTTTATCAATAATTCACTCAACATCTTCTTTCTCCATCTCCACAACCCCCAGTCCATGTTTGCCGCGTCAATTGGTGACATATATGGCTCCCAATCTATCCTTCCATCTCCATCAACACAGACCTCGAATTTCAAGCATGTAATGGTGCACTCGTGCTATATTTCACACTAAAGCTCCATCTCTCTCTCTCTCTCATTATAATATGTTAGTGCTCCTCTCTCCTTACATCCACTCTTTCACACTATATATCTGTCTCTCGCTCTCCCACTCTACCACCTTACATCTCCCTCCCTCCCCTTCTCTCCCAACATCTCTCTCTCTCCCCCTCCCTCCCTTGCACAGAAACACACAGACACACCCACTCCCCCCTCTGTCTTTCCCTCACCCACAACTCAAAACTTAATTTTGGCTCAGCTTAATGTTGCTCAGTGTTAATATTCGACGGCTATAGTATATCCTAGAGGCTTAAATATTAAATGGAAATGTTAACTGGCTAATCCTGGCTCATTTACTCCACCACTATGAAGCACAGAAATTAATGGCCATACTCCGCGCAACAAACAAAAATGACCTCACATGTTATACTTTTTAATGCACTGCTATACTTGACATGCACTTCTTGCCTATATTATGATTTAAGGAAAAGTTAACTGGCAAGCGATCGCTAAAAAGGGGTGGCAATCGAACCCCTTTTGTGGCAGATTTAGTTTTGAGACGAGATCAAACAATGACAGTTTTAAAAACAGAACTTACCTTCTGTCACAATCGAACCCCTTTTTATGGCAGATTTAGTTTTGAGACGAGATCAAACGATGACAGTTTTAAAAACGGAAATTACCTTCTCTGACAGAAACCGCCCTGTCGCTCTGAAGAAACTGCCATCCCCTCTAACTAAAAAATGGCACTGAAATCATTCGCAAATTCCAAACCCTCCCAGTGACCGTTTGCCAGCTAAGGGGGTCCATAATTTATTCAGGAAACAAGTCAAATAGACCCAAAGATGAAAACAGAAGGATGAATAAAGATGAATAGGCATCAAGTACACTCTACTTATACAATTATACAACTGGATGTTATGTGTCTGGTGCAATGCTATCACGAATCAAGTAGTGGTTAGGCAAAACCACGAATCATGTAAGTGGATTTTGAGCTAACTTCTCCTAAGCGTCGCTTTCTCCTTGTTCTTTTTTGCTCCCTCTTGTGCTCTTCCTTCCTACTAAATAGTTAAATTTTAGTACAACAGTAGCAAGGCAAATTTTAGTAACAGGGTAATTTTAGCACAAGAAGTCTTAGGTATCTTTAAAAAAAAGTCAGTAGAAATCAAATTTCAGTGCAAGGGGATATTTTAATAGGTCCATAAACAATTCAGTACAAGCCAAAAATTTCAGTATCCCTAGAAATTAATAACAACCCTTTATTTGTCACCATTTATAAAACTGTTTAGAATTTAATAACAAACTATGCCTTCCAAGAACAAAGTATGCCTAGCTATGAACAAAATACATTTACTATTCTTTTTTAGCTTCCAAGAGGGAAAATGATAAATGTAATTCTGAGAATGTAAAGAATCCAGCTTGGCTATACAGCAGCAAAGGCTTGTGTCAAATGCCTCCAACACAAGGAACCCATGCTATGTATTCAAAACCCCGATCATTTAATTGTGTATTGTATCAAAGTGAATAGATAAAGACAATAGAGGGAAAACAACTCTATAATTTCTGTCGCAACAAACAAACAAATATATAATCTTACCATAAACCTCATGGAAAGCACCAATGAACAAGTTCTCCAGATGGCACTGTCCTTAAATGTCGCATACACAAATGAAACATGATTTTTTTTTACTAAGACACAGTTTTCCTGTTCATTCATTTAAAAAAATACTTACCCTCTAGAACGGATCGGAATTGGGAGTTGCGAAGAACTAATAACACATCCAGATAAAGGACCTAGTGGTGGATGAATACCAGTAGCAAGATTGATAAGTTGAAGAATTATTCTGTAGAGTGTAGCGATCTGGAGCTGGTTAGAGCACTCGCCACAGCGGCGCCCGAGATGGCGAGGTGGCGGACAAAGGGAGGAGCGCAACACCAGGTCTCAGCTGCCTCCATGGAGCCCAAGGAACTCCGCCCGCCACCATGTGGACCCCTCTCAACACACAAAGCATGTAATGGACACACTGAACTCCAAAGGTACCTCCGTATATACATTGTGAAATGAAATAGCATAGCCGCTAGCCTGTTACTGGTTACAATATGGGAAATAAGTAGTTGTGTTGATAGCAGATGTCCAAAAATAATGGCAGGATTGCCTTGCTCATGCACTTTTAGAGGAGCAGGATGGAGCGGTCGGCCACGGCAGGCCGGACGCAGTCCATGCACATGAATTTCATCGGCTCTGATGTTGTGCACGCCCTTGTTCTCCCCTCCTCCCGAGGTCCCACATGAGGCCCTGTCCTCGATGATGGGTGGTCGATGACGACGCACACGACCCATACGTTCTTCTTGTCATACACAACATCCACACTGCCATCTAGTCCTAGACCAAGCACGAATTGAATCAGCGAGCAACCCTCAACCATCTCTTGTATCTCCATTACTAATCTTCCTATATCATTGTAAAACATCAGCTTGCAATCTCTGTACAAATTAGTACAGTACAGGGTTGCATGCCGTTGCAACAGTTTTGTACAATAAAAATTTAAAAGTACCCATGTTTGATCTATTATTTCAGATAAAAGTGTGGTGAATTATTAATTGAGCGGTTTAATTGTCTGTAGCTTTGTGAATTGTTTTGATCTTTGCTTCTGTAGCTACTTCCTCCGTTCCTAAATATTTGTCTTTCTAGAGATTGCAACAAGTGGCTACATACGGAGCAAAATGAGTGAATCTACACTCTAAAATATGTCTATATACATTCGTATGTGGTAGTTCATTTGAAATCTCTAAAAAGACAAATATTTGGGAACGGAGGGAATAGAAAACATTGCATATACAAGCCAATAATGTTACTCAGATCATGGAGGGAGCCCAAGTGCCTATGGACCACAACATGATATGTATACTTAAAACATGGAGAAACATGCATTGCCAATTATATCGGCGCATTTGAAGATGATGGTAACTGGTTGTGCGCTTGTGCTTCCCTAAGCTTATGAACGGTGCACTTCCACCCCCTCTGTACAAAATATGTTTCTTAATTAAAAATATATTCCTAACTCTACTTGAAAAAGAATATACAGATCATGTATGTTATCCAAATATTTCTAAATATACAATATTTTTATTGAAGGACATCTTAATTAAAAAAGATGTTTCATACACTCGCTATGCATGATAGAAGTATGTACCTGTTTTGAGAAAAATTAATATACTATGCAAGTAAAAATGTATATGAAGAACTAAAAATTGGGGCATACTACTCAGAGGATTTATATCAAGATATGTAGTATTGTTTACTTTTGTCCTGGAAGGAGTTCGATTAAGTTTTTGATGTAAAGCAAAATTCATGGAAACTTTAGAAGAAATCATGCATAACATGGAATTATAGGACAAGAGCTCTGAGCTAGACACATGTTGATTGTACTATGTAGTTCGAGCTCCATCAATACAGACACGATTTCCTATCATTATAAGTAAATTTTCTATTAGTAATGTAATTTGGTAAGTAAAGTAAAGTATTGCCTGTATCCCAAAACTTATGACACGTCACTGTTACCTCCAAATATGATGCAGTTATTCAATATCCATTGTTTGATTAAAGATATAATCAGTTAGAGGCATCAAATCAAGTCTTCCTTTTTTGTGGGGAAAATCAAATCTTCCTTAAATAATTTAAACTGCACACCATAAGTACTGCTAGCCTCTAACCGCCACCACTTTGGGAAGAAACAAGGCCTGTTGGCTTTAGATTGCTTGCAAAATTGGATTAAAGCAATCACCTGCAAAAATACAGCACGCTAGCTTCAAATCGCTTGCCAAAACACGACAGTGTACTTGAGGACAGTACATATCATTGCAGACTAACAATAGGAGGGAAAATAAGCTACTTTATGCTGAATTGAAGTACTCAAATCAGAGCTAGTGCAGTATGCCACAAAGAAAATATTGTTTGTTGAGCCAAACCACATTAAAAAAGAAGAGGAAGCATTAGAAGATCAGAGTTAATAGTTCGTTTTCTGCAGCTTGCATAACTGAATTGAAGTAATTAGCGTTTGTTTATACTGGCTCACTTAATTTTTCTCAAACCATCAGAACCAACACAAAATCATAAATTGAGCATATAAAATTTTATTAACATGGTGTACGCTTAGCTGTCCATGGTGTACACTTCATTGCCATGGCATGCCCTGTGCATCTCCAATCCTCCCTATTATTTCCTCCTTCGAGGACAACTATAAGTAAAAGAGCCATGGCATTAATGATACAGACATTTAGGAATATAAATCTAGCTAAGTGCATATTAAAGAACTAAGAGATGTGCTTTTGCAGTCCAAGATACTAACCAGGCCTGGTGAACAATTTGCAAACACGTACAAATACCAGAACCACAACCTCCATAAATTATCCAAAGAATTAGACCAGAATGGATGAACGCTTGGATTTATAGCACCTGAAAATAGTAAAATCGACGAAAGCTTCATCAGTTAAAAGAATCAGGCCAAGGAAGCAAAGCCATGAAAAGGAGCATGGTCGGGCTGCCCGGAGAGTGGTGGTGAAGAACGTATCCCCCATGGACCATGCGTCGTCCTAGTATCTTATATTCCGATCAGGTCCTGTCGTCAACCTGTCCGCAAAAGACTGTAGCAAACTTCCTCATGCTTGGACAGATGCATTAGTATCTTATATTCCGATCAGCTCCTGTCGTCAACCTGTCCTCAAAGACTAGCAAATTTCCTCATGCTTGGACAGATGCATTAGTATTCAGGCTCATGTTCTTCTCTGAAGGCAGCTATAGAGAGGATACTCAAATAATTGGAAATTCGGAAAATAAAACTAATGGAATGAATCCAAGATCCACCTTCAAAAGAAGCAACACAACTACTGGAAATTCGTGCTAAAGGGAAAATTCTGCTGTTGTACGAACAATTGAATTGAATGACCAATGAACATACCCATAATCAAATAGAAGTGATGTATTCAGGAATTCCTTGCACATTCATTGGATCGACGCCGCTCCCAACTCGACTTGGATCCACGTAGGTATACGTTCTCATCGGGACTTGGGAAGTTGGGATCAGATCAAATAGATCAGTTTCGTCTACTGCATCCAGCGCAAGAATTTCTAGATTCTCTTCCTGTAGAACTTCATCTCAGATAAGATCAGTTGATTGACCATGGAAGTGGGGACTGGCGACCATGGCCGTCGTCGTCGACGAGGCGCACCTGACTTCGATGGCGGCGGACCTGGAGCTGAGGTCCACGAGGCGCTGGCGGCTTCGAACATGGCGACCCCATCTCCCGAGCAGGCGGCCATGGGTGCCATGGAGGTCATGGCACACGAGCTCCACGTCCGATCAGTGGCGATGGGTGATGGCGGCGGCATGCGAGAGGGGTGAATGGCGGCGACGGCATACGAGCGGATTGGCGGCGGCGGCATACGAGCGGATTGGCGGCGGCGGCGCCGACGTGACCTAGATCGATGGGAGCGTTGTTGCCTGATTATTTTTTGCTACGGGCGAGAGGGCTCTTCGCCTGGTTTTTTTTCGTTTCATGCGAGGGGTAGCCTCTTCGTGGGGTGGAGAGGGGGTGAGAGAGGACGAAAAAAAACAGCGAAAAAAAACGGTTGAAAGTGGTGAGACGAAAATAAACCGTACTATTTAACCAACTGAGACAGAGTAGAGATAAAAAACCGAGTTGTGATGATGGTACGCGTGCCATCTTGCAATATAGACCGTCCAATTTATATCTGACGGATGGAAATTAAACTAATACATACATGCACCCCTCTCCATATTTACAGACAAGGCCTTCCATCGTTCATCCTTATCTCCAACAACCTCATTGTTGAGCAATTAAGAAAGGAAGCCTCTCGAACTGGCCTGATGGCCACTGCCGGTGTCGTCAATCCCCATGCCTCCGCTCAGTCCGACCACCAATCACCACCACGCCCCACTCCTCTTCACCTTATCTCCTATTTCTTGAGATATCATTAGTTTTTACACATGGGATTACTCCCGCATGGGTCAATCACAACAAGTGTTTTATAAAAAAAATGCATCTTGATGTTCCGTGCAATGCACGAATCTTGCTAGTACTCCTACAGAAGACTAAGTTGATGATGATGGTGTGTCTGTCATCCGTCGTTTGTGACCATTAGATCTACATCTAACGACTGTGAGGTAAGTTGTTGTCTTTTTCACCAACATCCCACTTGTCTACCAATTTGCAGAAAAACCCATAATTAGTATCTTTAAACCAACCACATCCCTCCCTGACCTCACCAAAACAGCTCAAGGAATATATTCTAATTGAAACATAATATATCTCTAGTGATATATGTATATCAAAATTAGAGTGTTTTGTATCAAGTTTGTGAATAAGTATTATTCTAATTATGATTCGCTGCAACACACATGAACATTGCTAGTATTTCTAACCATGCATTTTTTTCTAGTATTCCATACTTTTGAGTTTTTCATTAAGATATTAGTTACTCATGGTTGATATTTACTTTTAATCATGTACACATATGCACTATGTAACTAGCCTTACTTATTGGGTTTCAAAGCTTAACTTTCACTCCTACTTACAATATGTAGAGTATTTAACAAAAAACTACCACTTCAACCAGCCCTACAAAGAATCTATTGTACAAAAAATAGTAAAAACATACCCAAAATTTCTTAATCCACATCAAAAACTACTACCTAATACTCCCTCCGTCCCACAATGTAAGACGTTTTTGCAAGCTAGTTTAGCTTGCAAAAACATCTTGTATTATGGGACAGAGGGGCTACCGATTAGGTTAGTTTAAACCCATTTATAATAGGGTTGGCCCACATGTCCGTGCTGACGAGGCAGCTTAAAACAACACATTTTGTTTGACCGTTGACACAAGGGACCCACATCTGACCTTCTATCCTGTTATTCCCCCTCAAATCATTATTTTTCCTGAACATTACTTCAAACAATACTGATGCGTGTTCGTCGGTGGCGCCGGTGATGAGCGAGTTGGCCGCCGCTCCGCCGGACGGGCCGGATGCCGCGCTGGCCTCCGCACGGGTTGGCAGGCTGGCCCGAGCGTGACTCACGAGCGAGCAAGCCACCACCCTGGCCTTCGCTCGAGCCAGATGGCTGGTCTTAGCGCGGCGCACGCGAGCAAGCCGCCGCGTCGCCGTGCCAATCTAGCTAGCAAACCTTGCAGACAAGCAGCTGGATAGAGCTATCTTGGCTAGCTAGTGGTCACGAGCGCCGGACGGAGCTGGCATCCGGGCTACCGCAAGATGGGTTCCGCACCGCCGACGGTTTTAACCTCGCCTTCTGCCGGCGGCGGTAACTGCATCCCATGGCTGAGGATGACTAGGTGGACGGGCCAGAGGTAGGAGGTCACTCGGGGATTTTTGTGCAGACCGGCATGTAGGTCCCACAAGTCATAACGCCCGGTCGAATAGAAGGTGTTGACTTAATGGGCGACATGGGCCCTGTTTGGATACTCTAAGTCAGAGGTTAGAGTTAGATTCTAACCCTGAACTAACTCTAACCAAAGTGGTGTTTGGATGGCAGAGTTAGATTGACAACAAATGTATCCAAACAGGGCCATGGGTTGACACGTGCCTATAACGACACTTTATAGAGTGGTCGTTTCTTGATAGGGCTAGTTGGTAAGAGCATGTACAATGGTTGATAAGGTAGTCTTATCTTAAGTCTGCCACGTATACAAGTGGTAGTAGTTTCTTGGCATTATTAGTGGTTTCTTGCATTATTAGGTGTTTCTTGTAAGGAACAATGTACTACTAGCGACAAAAGGCGATTCTAAGTTGCGTTGTACTCCAACGAGTACTACTAGTGGTCGCGGGAGTGTATACCTCATTTTATGGGTTCGATCCTGGCGAACGCACGGCGGCCTTTTTTTAAATAGTAACTTCGCTGCGAGCCAATATTTTACACGGGTAGTTTGAGTTTTGAAGTCAAACGGGCGTGCGACACCACAATCTGGGTGCACTGGATAGCCTAGCCACATGAACGGGTTGTCCTTCCCAGCATCTCGTGGCTTGCGTGCTCGCCCTAGCCGCACCTCGCTTGCAGCTTCATCATCATCTAGTAGCATATTTAAACTAGCGCCTCCCAATTAAGCCCGAGGAGCCAGAAAAGCCTCGCGGGGCATTGAGAACTGTGCAATATGGCTCTGTACGTAAAGTGCTCTACTACTACTCTATAGCTTGTGGCGTTGGACGCATGGACTTCACTCCATTATCGGCTCTACTATAAAAGAAATTCCTCTTGACGTGTTTTTTTAAAACGAAGGCAAAAGCTTTGCTTCATCTCATTCATAAAGAAGGAACTACTAACAAAGTTTGACGAGATCCATTACACCTCCACAAATGGAAGTGAAAAGCCTAGTCTCGCTGTATCAAATAACTCAAATGTTCCGCCCCCGCAGTAACCGTCGCTGATAAACAGGCTGCTAGTGTGTGCGTGAGAGGAGCGGCTGAGTAGGCCAGCTACGTGAGAGGAGCGGCTGAATAGAGCACCGAGAGTACCCACTAGGCCACTATACAGGTGTACTTTCCCTGCATTGATAGTACAACAACGGTTCTAGAGAACAGTAGTACCCTCCACTTCCAACTATAGCTCCTTGGCCCTGAGATTCAAGAGTTCAAAACTGGTGCACTATACTAGAAGTACAGTACATCGCACTACTAGTTGAGAAAGTAGTACTAGTACTGCTACAGTACGAGTACGTACTCCTCCGTCACATAATGTAAGACGTTTTTTGACACTAGTTGGCATGTACAAAAAATAGCAAAAACATACCCGAAATTTCTTAATCCACGCCAAAAACTACTCCCATAACGTATAATGCAACTCCATAACGTCCCAGTATTATAGAGTACTAGCTAGTGCCAAAAATCCCATAACGTATAATGCAATCCCACATTATAAAGTACTAGCTAGTGCCAAAAATTTCTTACTAGTGCTATTATTTACAATATAATGCAATCCCATAACGTCCCATAATGCTAGTACTAGTAGTAAATAATAGCTTCACCCCTTCGCTAAGGAACGATCTACAGTTGGAAGGGATGAGGCCCTGCGGTTATTATGCTCTTATCTCCTCCTCGCCAGTTCCCCTCCCCCGAAGAGAAGGCAGTTTGTCGCTGCTCTCATGGATTCGCCAGGCGGTTCTCCTCCTCGTCGGGGCTGGGAGACCTTGGACGATGATCCTCTGGGAGAAATCGCACGCCGCTCCGACGTCCTCACCTCCGCAAGACTCGGTGCTTCCTGCACCAACTTTTTCAAGATGGTGCTTAAAAAGGCTTGGGAAAAGGCCATGCTTGTTGGTCTTCCATGCGTCCTCGAGGGGAAGGTTCTTCTATGGGACAATCCTTCGAACAGTCCACCGCTCCCTGGCCATGGTTGCACGTTGACTCCGCTAGAGTTGCCGATGTTGAGAGGTAGTCGGATTTTGTCCAATGAGCAGGTCAGTAATGGAGTTTGATCATGTAGTACTTAGTTATTCTGTTTCCATTCTGTAATTTCTCCGCTGCCCACCATCTTATATATAGGTCTGGGTCGGTGCCAACGAAGATTGGCTTGCATACTTCCGGTCGAATACCACCATCATTTTGCACAACATCCACAGCAGTGTGGCCGTTCCGGTAGACCCCTTCTCCACCATTGGAATCGGCCTTCCGGACTGGCTGGGCTTGAATACGTATGATGATGCCTACATGAGATTGAAGAAGATAGCAATTGCGGACCCGCCGATAAAGCGACGCGGCTACGCCGATTACCATCTCATTGCGGTGTTCGGCATAAGGATTGCCATCAATGCAAGAGGCATTAATGGCAGAGGTTGGCGCATGTTGGCGGTGGCAGATTTGTACCCCTACACGTTCGAAGACGCTGTGCGCCATCTAGGCCGCATCTTCGCGGTGACAAGCCAGGGAACTTGTTTCATCTGGTTTCCATCCTACGGTACGAGAGATTGCAAATGGAATGCACAAACCATCATTTGCATCCCTAACGACACTTTATTATTTTGCAGGGACCAGTCATTCCGCAATCAAAATAAGATCGCCGATCCTAGATGTGCATTTGCATCCGCGATTCGGTCGAACCTGGAACCTTGTAGCTGACTTTGGCATATTGGGATCAACTATCTTAGCAGTCGTTACCCATGGGACCGCTGATGTGCAACATGGTCACACAATCTACCACGATCGGACCATCACCATCTACCCAGGTATTCCATTTTTTAACCCTCTCGCCTTCTTTTTCATTGTTGTACTAGTACTCTACTTACGTACTAGTAGGAGTACTTTTTACCTT